CTTTTTCTTTCGAACTCTGCTCGTGTGTTAGCATTGTGAACTCCACAACACTGTTTTTCTACAAAAAACCGTGTAATATCTTTTGCTTCAGCGACACACTGGGCCCATAACCTGTTGTCTTTATTCGTTGTAACAGCAGTTATACTTAAAAACGAACACAAGAGGGCAGAGTACCACACTTCAACACTGTCAAATTATAATCTTACAACAGTCAGTTAAAGTAAGGTATTGTGGACCTGAAAGCTCAGCGCACTGTAAGCAGACATGCACACTAAAAAGACACAAGCTAAAGCCATCTTCACCAGTTTGAAAACTCATACACAACATTTAGAGTAAAGTGTCAAAACTCAACCAAATACTGAATCAAATTGTGAACATGCATTAGTAATTACAATTCAATAATATAAATCAATGTGAAATGCTCTGTTCTGCACTTTTACTTTTGGTACTTTAAGGATATTTTGATACTTTTGTACTTTTACTTAAGTACATTTTGAATGCAGGATTTTTACTTGTATTGCAGTATTTTTACACTGTTGTATTGCTACTTTTACTTCTTCTGTCACTGTCTACATGTTCTTTTCACTTGGGAGCATTTCCATAACATGCTGTGCACATGCCAATTTGGTGATGATGTTTTTATAATTTGAGCTGAGGTCTCATAGCCACTATCATTTACTTGGAAGAATCTGTTTTATGCAGCACTTTAAGCTAAAAAACTTTGCAGGAAATGTTTTTGAGTGCTGCAGTTCTTTTACCAACATTAAGGTAAGTTTGTGATGTGAACATACACATGTTCCTGATGTTTTATGCTGACTAGTAATAAGATGTTTGATTTTTCATTTGAGACTTTAATTTAATTTAGGTGATATTACTACATTCACTCAAAGCGGAATTAAAACACAGACTGCATCATGAATACTAAAAAATGTCCGCAGACAACAAAAAAGTAGCTTTTGATTTTTGTTTTTTTCAACAGAAGGCCAATGAAAATGAGAACCTTGGATTTAAGGAAAGTCTCCTGGTGTATGACTATGAAGGCCAGGGCTCCTCTGCCGGCTCAGTGGGCTGCTGCAGCCTCCTGGAGTCTGACAATGACCTGCAGTTCCTCAATGACCTTGGACCAAAGTTCAAGACCCTTGCAGAGGTGTGTGGAGGGAAGACCATCTCAACTGAAGTCAAACAAGCTTTCACTCCCCTGCCCAGTTCCTCCATGAACACTCAGACCTCAATATCAAGTTTGGTGACTGCTCCACAGTTGCCCGCTCCACCAAAGCTGCAGCCGATCGTTCCCAAAACAGAGCAGACTGTGGTCAGGGAGACATCTGAGCATTCTCAGGTGGTGAACGAAAGCACAGCCACAGTGAGTGGAGGGATGACCACAGTGAAGGAAGGAATGGCAAATCAAGGCCAAATGCTCTTGCTACAGCAGCCTGTCTACTACACCACCGCCCCTATGCTTCAGCAGATGCACTATGTAGTTCAGCCACAAGTTCAGAACACCGTGTTGCTGGCTGAGGCACCGGCCGCCAACATGCAGGGCATGGTATTAGTTAACGGCACCCAGACTGGACCTGCCCAAGGTGTGGTTGTTCAGGGGCAGACAGTGATGTCCAGTGGACAAGGCCAAGGTCTTGGCATGGTGCTGGTGGAGAGGAGTGGAGTCCAGGGTGGTGGTACCAACCTGATCCAAACTGGAAACCTCTCTGGCTCCCAGGCCATGATGGTTGTGGAAGGCAAGGTCCCTGCAGGGTCGATGAAAGTGCTGAAAGGGAGCCAGACCCATCTCGTACAGGGAGGTACTCTACAGTCAGGACTTTCAGGATCTCAGAGAGTCCTGGTGGTTGGAGAACCAACAAGCAGTGGAGGGCAGCTGGTTCAGGGAGCAGGGAGTCTTTCCCAGAAGAGTGATGTCTCTGGCTCTCAGAGAGTCCTCCACAGCAAGGGCAGTGTGATCCCTGGATCTCAAAGTAGTGTGGTGGGTTCTTCTACTACCACAGTAAGCCCAACCCCTACCTACCGCAAGATAGTGGTGCAGGAGACCAAAGAAATTCACTGAATAAGAGATGATCAGGACAACAGCCAATCTTTTCAGTGATACCACTGAGACTGCTCTTCTGGCCTGGTCCAGCTGGTGATGGGATTCAGCTAATGCTTTTAATGCAGTGAATGGAGAGAGGGCAGGTTCCCCATACTCCCTCTTTTTAAATTGGACAATGCAATTCATTATATCATGTGTCATTTAGCACCCACCCCCACCAAACAGCACCCTCCTAAAGGCCCAGGGTCCAATGTAAAAAATGTAAGGTAGACAATGGAATGGAAATTACATATTAACAAGCCAATCCCTCCAAACCATCCCACCCACAAATACACACCTCTCTGCATTCTGTACACACACTGATGTTTTGTTGTTAGTATGCCATTCATCTGTTAACTAAACTCAGTCTTCATGTTCAATTTTATTTTGTCTTAATCATGTTCTTTTATGGTTTACATGGCTGTATGCTATATGCTATATCTGTCTGTTGTTTTGCACTAATAAACAATAAGAAAACATACCTCTGGAATTTTTAGGGGCTGTTTGTCTTAAATCATCAGTTTATCATGGACAGTATTCCAACCCTAAGTAATGGATGTTTTCAACAATCTATTTAGGTACATTATTTGTGTGTCATTGAAAAATACTGTAAAAGTCATTCCAACAATAAGTCGTTTGTTTATTTTCAGCCCCCAGTTAATGGTTTTAGTATTATTATCATGGCAAGAATCTTTCTAAATATGTGTAAAGGAGGCTTGTTATACTGGATAAACTACCCAGCAATAACTGAAAGGTTAGTACTATGGGAAAGTAATATGAGGAAACTACATGGCAGGTACAGCAAGTGGTAGCAGGGTGTACAAAGAAACCAGTGAGGGAAGTTGGCTTAGTGGTGATCACAACCCCAACAGACAGATTAGGCAAAATGGTTTTGACAACAAGAAGAAAAATAACCTGGAGGGTATTTCATAAAATCAAGATGAGGGATTGTACTGGGATAAGGCTGTTGGTGGCACAAATTAAATCACAGACAAATCACTACAATTCCAATGAACATTTATTGTTGCAATTAATACTAATGAGCTGGCTACGGAATCACCTTTTCTCTGCAGAGGAAAAAGTTTGTGTCTAGAAGCAGCCAGAAGCCAAGCCTGTGCTTGCTCTTTAGCTCGCCTGCTCTTGATACAGCCTACTTATCTACTCTACGTATACATTAATAATACTGTTTTCGGGGAATGTTCCTTGAAATGTTTATGCCAAATTCTCAGTTTCCCGTCAATGCTTGACTTCCTCTTTTCTGGAAATTGTTTGTTAAGCAAGATGACTGGAACATGAACTTTAATTTGTACTGACCCTGCCAGTTTCTCCATTTTTAGGGCACAAACTTCTCTAAACAATTTACACAGAGCCCAGGACAGAGATTGCTTGAACAAGACAAACATCTTAACTCACACTGTGACCTTTAACTATTAACTAATACATGTGTAATATGTATATATGTATGTGTGTGACCTCTTCACTGCTATTGTGCTCTATTACATATTAACTATAACTACATTTGTTTTAACCACTACAGAATTTTTGGAGACACCAAAAATCCTTTAAGTTGACTTGATAATCGCATTAGTTATACTGGCTATGTTGATAAGGATAATCACCTTTATTGGCCAAGTATGTTACCCACAAGGAATTTGTTTCTGGTACAAAACCGAGGCAGCCATCTGCGACCAATGGCTCTAACCATCGGGGGCAACTTGGGGGTTCAGTATCTTGCCTAAGGACACTTCGACTGCAGGCACTGAGATTTGAACTTCTGACCCTCCAGTTGGGAGATGACTGTTCTACTCATTGAACCACAGTTGCCCCTTTATGTACTTAAGGATAATAACCTTTATTGGCCAAGTATGTTACACACAAGGAATTTGTTTCCTTTACAGAACTGATGGCAGCCATCTGCGGCACCAACTCAACTGATGGATCTTACCATCGGTTGGGGTTCAGTGTCTTGCCCAAGGACACTTTGACACATGGACTGCAGGCACCAAGATTCGAACCTTCAACCTTCTGGTTGAGTAACAACTGCTCTACCCACCGCACCACTGTTGCCTCCCAGCCATTGTTGCCTTTATGAGTACATAAAGACTGTGCTTGCAAAGATAAAACAAAGGTTAATCATATAATGTAAATTTTTTTATTAGCAAATAATTTAAAATGCCAGGTTCAAGGAATAGTCTTGTCACTTTGAACATCAGCCTACATGGACCTGGAGCCACATGGGCCTACTTTCCATTTACAGTTTTCTTTCTCAAATTACTTGAGTCACATTCACATTTATGTTAATATCACATGGGCTGTATTAAGCAACATAGGTAAGGGTTTGTAAATTCAGGGACAGACCAAAATGGAGCCTTGGGAATGTTCAGGTAGGCATCAAAGTAATGCCTCACATTCTATACACAGTTAAACTGCATATATACATGACCTATCACTCATGTTCCTATACATCTCTAGTGCTAATTTAATCTGACCACAATCATACTGAGCCCTGCCTCTTTGCAGCTACACTTCTGCCTGCTTTCAGAACTGTACCTCACTGTGTATCTCTTCTTGGCTCTCTGGGTATTTTGCTAGCCTGCACAACCAGCTGATTGCCCTGGTTAAGCCCACATTGCCTTGACTGCAGATACCTGATGAGATGAGATGGAAATGCTGGGGATGCAGAGTCACAGTCAAGCAAAGGAAGAAGTGGTGGAGGTACAAATAGTCTCTTATCCTATTTTACTGTACCTTTTGACTTTGATGTAACATTTCACAGGATTCAGTAAGCGCTGCTTTTCACATGTAGCACTGATATATTTGCTACGTGTTAATGGCACAGGCAATTTACTCTGGTGTGAGATGAATTAATTGAATTGGGGAACTGAGGTAGATGATGTACATCTGGGAAAAAGTTGGCATTACTTGGAAAGACTGACCATATATTCACAATCTAAGAGGTTATGTTTTTGCCTGAAAAATATCAAACTCAGTGAAGGCCCAGGGATGTGTGAACACCCATTAAGAATACTGAGTTAATGGAATGATCTGGTGCTGTAAAGCAGTATGCAGCTCTTGCAAAAGGTCTCTGGAATGGTGATCCAAAGTTACATTGTGCAATAACAGATGATCCAGGCATGCAGTGACAATAATAGAGATGGCATTCATCTTATTAGAACTCAATCTACAAACAAAATTATTTTGAAGCAGTTAATTTAATGAAAAAAGTCACATATTGTTGCTCGGGAGGCGACAGTGGTGCGGTGGGTAGAGCAGTCATCTCCTAACCAGAAGGTTGAAGGTTCGAATTTAGGTGCCTCCAGTCCACGTGTCCTTGGGCAAGACACCAAACCCCCCCGTTGCCCCCAATGGTTAGAGCCATTGGTTGAGTTGGCGCCGCAGATGGCTGCCATCGGTTCTGTACCGGAAAAAAATTCCTTGTGTGTAACATACTTGGCCAATAAAGGTGATTATCCTTATTGTCTCTTTTGCTGTTTCAGCTGTCAGGTGTTGCCAGGTACAGTGATGGCAGGCATGCAGAGAAAAAAATGACAAGTGACTCAAGGTTTTAGATCAGAATGACAACGCTCCGGTGTTTGGAGTCATGAAGGCCGGGGAGGTGGATGAGCTCAGTCCTGCAGGTACTGTAGCGTTTCACTTTTGCTCTTTGCCCTGCTTCCACGAGGTTCGTATGTCAGTGTCAGCGTAGTAGAAAAGAAAAAACAAATGTTGGAATAAGGTCGTCAGAGCAGATGGAGCTAATTCATCCAGTGAGCATTTATATGTTTGAAGGTTTAAAATGGACAGCCAAGATAACAGTACCGTATATAGATGACACAAAATCACAAAAAACTATGCCCCCTTTAAGTTATCATATCCTAGAGCCTCACTGGGAGAACGTAAATATTACTGTAGTACAGTATAGTAGGGTGTTCTGTATAGAGTTGAATGTGTACTGTAGAAAAACCAAGTGGCAATCCAAAAGGATCAAATATATATTTTCAGAAAAAAGTGTTTTTACACTGTGCTTTACCACTCTATCCTTGTTAGCCTAATCCGTGTTCAACCCTGAGGCCCTTAGTGTAACCTTGTACTGTACAGCAGTGAGAAGACACACCTTTGAGAAACATGCATGTGTCAGTTGAACTTTTATAAGCATACATTAAGCTATGGGAGGAGGAGGAAGGATGGGGACTGCACATCCAGGAATGGGTGTACAGTAGGTTTGAAGGGAGGGGGATGAAGCTGACATAGGTGTGTCTTTAACATTAATAACTTAAAGCTCATCAGTTTGCTCTGTTTGGACCACATGACCTGAGCCTTCAGTGGGTTAACATGCTCAGAAGGGACAGGGTGGCGTGTGCTGTGACTCCTCTGCACTCGTGGCTCGGCTCTCCTCCACAGCAGCAGGCCTGCTGCTTCTGTTAGCGCTGGCCGTGGTGAGTATTCACCCTGACGCCACTCATACTTTCACCTTGACACAGTGGGAATGCTGCCAGTCTTGAACGCCTTGTTGTCACAAGAGTAGGAAATTATTTTAAGCAGATTTGATTCCAATCTATTAAATTTACAGTAATTTCTGATTATGATAAAACATGATTAAAATGATGCCAATTGCTCAATTCTAAGTGTTTTTCAGTCAGAAATAGGGTTTCAGATCAAGCACAGCAGAAACTATTTTCAGTATCCAAATACTCATAAAATATTGCATCACCAAATAGTACATTAATACACAGGAAGCACTGGCTGTTGATGCGTTTTGCTTGAGCTTATTATTTCTCTGTGCTGTAACTGTGTGTGCTGCCGTAGAGACAACAGAAAAGCTGTCAGTCATCTAATGGTGGGTTTTACATCTAGGCTGCCTAAATAAACAGAGCATGCACGAACAAAAAAGTTGTGTTGGAAAAAATTTGATGCAGTACAAGTTGAGCAGCATGGTCTACTTATAAAAACTGCTCTAATACAGGCGCAATGAAGATTTTAAACTTATAGAACAAAGTTTTCCTACGGCAGTGTTGATACCATATATTTTCATTTTATGTAGCCTGGATCTCAGTTGCTCAAAGGTATAGCCTACAATAGTATTGTATTCAGTACAGTAAGATATCAAAATGCTGTGATGTTAAATTAAGCCTTTAAAATTATTAAACCATATGTGTCACAGATTGTGCTTTTAAACTCATGTTTCATTACTCAGGTTGTATTAATGAAATATCCTTTACTGGTGCATGTCTTTGAAGTCTCTCTAGAAAAACTGGTTTTAATCTCAGTGAGATGTTTACCAGGTTAACTATATATAGTTATATATAGTTGCCAACTTTAGCGCTTTGGACACACTGAACATATTTTACTGCATAACATTT